CAGATAAAAACGGTACAGAATCGGATAAAAAACCAAAAACAACAACAAGTTCAACCAACTTAGAACAAAATATAATAAAAAATACTATATATACAATATTTATAAAATATATACGGACACACTAACGTACAAATAATATTACACTGCATATAGACAGACAGACATTGTGTGTGTTGAAAAGAAAAAAATAAAATAATAAGAAAATTATTATCATTTTCAAATATCATATAATTTCCATTTGTAAATCGTATTTAAAATATATTTTTTTTACCCAGTGCAAAAAAAATTATAATTTTAAATTAAAAACAAATTGTTACAAAATGAATACATAAATATTTTTCTTTAAAAATCTTTATAGTGTCAATGTGGAAATCAATAAAATTTTAAAAATAAATTTTCAGAAAACACCTCCCGTTAAAAAAAAAACTTAAAAATAGCCCTGTCTCAGCGGCAGGTTGGTAGCAGCAGTTTTTAATACGAATAAAAAAAAATCCCTTCGCAACTTTTAAATTTTTGTTCCTGAAAAGTAGTAAAGTTCCAGTTCCTTCTAGCCAAAATGTCGGGTGATGTACAACCACGTAAACGCAAGGACAAGAAAAAGAAACGTGGTAAGTTGTTTTTTTTTATTGCTCATCATATAAATATTTTCATTCAAAAAAAAAAAAAAATAAAATTTTAGGTCGTTAATACTTTTCGATTCGATCGTGTGTGTGTTCGTTCGTTTGCCCTATTATATAAAAATATTTTTGGTACTTTTAAGTTTATGAAAATTATATTTTTAATTTTCATCACACACATGTCTCTTGTATTAGTGTTTGTTGTTAGAAATTTATTTTGTTTCTTTTTTGTATTTTCCCACAGCGATCTTTTATAATTTTCTTTTCTATTCTAAGCATTTTCAAAATAGAGCTGCCATCAGTGTTGTAGTCAATAAGTTGCGTAGGAATTCTTTTGCTTTTTTCTTGTCATTCAGTTTTGTTAACCCTATAACGGAAGAGCGTTTAAGTCGAGTGTGACTACCGTTCACACTGTAAATCGAATGTTGAACTTTTGTTGAAAGAAGTCCAAAAGTCTAGTCTATAGTCTAGTCTATAGTCTAATCTATAGTCTAGCTATTGTCTAGGCTATAATCTAGTCTATAGTCTAATCTATAGTCTAGTCTATAGTCTAGTCTATTGTCTAGGGTATAGTATAATCTATAGTCTACTATATAGTCTAGTCTATAGTCTAGTTATAGTCTAGTTTATAGTTTAGTCTATAGTCTAATCTATAGTCTAATCTATAGTCTAGCTATTGTCTAGGTTATAATCTAGTCTATAGTCTAATCTATAGTCTAGTCTATAGTCTAGTTTTGTTCTAGCTCTTGTTCTGTTCTAGTTCTGTTCTAGTTCTGTTCTAGTTCTGTTCTAGTTCTGTTCTAGTTCTGTTCTAGTTCTGTTCTGTTCTAGTTCTGTTCTAGTTCTGTTTTAGTTCTGTTCTAGTTCTGTTCTAGTTCTGTTCTAGTTCTGTTCTAGTTCTGTTCTAGTTCTGTTCTAGTTCTGTTCTAGATCTGTTCTAGTTCTGTTCTAGTTCTGTTCTAGTTCTGTTCTAGTTCTGTTCTAGTTCTGTTCTAGTTCTGTTCTAGTTCTGTTCTAGTTCTGTTCTAGTTCTGTTCTAGTTTTGTTCTAGTTCTGTTCTAGTTCTGTTCTAGTTCTGTTCTAGTTCTGTTCTAGTTCTGTTCTAGTTTTGTTCTAGTTCTGTTCTAGTTCTGTTCTAGTTCTATTCTAGTTCTTTTCTAGTTCTGTTCTAGTTCTGTTCTAGTTCTATTCTAGTTCTGTTCTAGTTCTGTTCTAGTTCTGTTCTAGTTCTGTTATAGTTCTGTTCTAGTTCTGTTCTAGTTCTGTTCTAGTTCTGTTCTAGTTCTGTTCTAGTTCTGTTCTGTTCTAGTTCTTTTATAGTTCTGTTCTAGTTCTGTTCTAGTTCTGTTCTAGTTCTGCTTTAGTTTTGTTCTAGTTTTGTTCTAGTTCTGCTCTAGTTCTGTTCTGGTTCTGTTCTAGTTTAGTTCTAGTTTAGATCTAGTTCAGTTCTACTATAGTTCTTTTTCAGTTCTAGTTCAATTCTAGGTTAGGTTAGTTCTAGTGAAGTTCGTGTAAAGTTCTAGTTCAGTTCTGTTTCACTTCTTCTAGTTCATTTCTAGTTCCGTTGTAGTTCATTTCTAGTTCAGTTCTAGTTTAGTTCTAGTTTAGTTCTAGTTTAGTTCTAGTTCTAGTTTAGTTCTAGTTTAGTTCTAGTTTAGTTCTAGTTCAGTTCTACTTCAGTTCTACTTCAGTTCTAGTTCAATTCTAGTTCAGTTCTAGGTTAGCTCTAGTTTAATTTTAGTTCAGTTCTAGTTCAGTTCTAGTTCTGTTCTATTTCAGTTCTAGTTTAATTCTAGTTCAGTTCTAGTTCAGTTCTAGTTCAGTTCTAGTTCAGTTCTAGTTCAGTTCTAGTTCAGTTCTAGTTCAGTTCTAGATCAGTTCTAGTTCTGTTCTATTTCAATTCTAGTTCAGTTCTAGGTTAGTTCTAGTTCAGTTCTAGTTCAGTTCTAGTTCAGTTCTAGTTCAGTTCTAGTTCAGTTCTAGTTCAGTTCTAGTTCAGTTCTAGTTCAGTTCTAGTTCAGTTCTAGTTCTGTTCTATTTCAATTCTAGTTCAGTTCTAGGTTAGTTCTAGTTCAGTTCTAGTTCAGTTCTAGTTCAGTTCTAGTTCAGTTCTAGTTCAGTTCTAGTTCAGTTCTAGTTCAGTTCTAGTTCAGTTCTAGTTCAGTTCTAGTTCAGGTCTAATTCTGTTCTAGTTCAGTTCTAATTCTGTTCTAGTTCTGTTCTACATATAATCTCAGAATTCTGATCCATTTTTTTTAAATTTTATATTTATCTAATTTGTTTCCTAATATCGTTTTAGGGTTAAAACTTAATGCAAACTAATGTACAATCTGACGACACACAATGTTTGCTGTGTTAATCTTTCAAAATTTCCTTAATTTATATTTAAGTTTTCTTTTTTTATGTGTTTTTATTACTTTTTTACCCCTTTATTTTTTCACGAAATATCTTACGATTTTACAGTTTCATAAAAGATTTTTTACCCCTTTATTTTTTCACGAAATATCTTACGATTTTACAGTTTCATAAAAGATGTGGGAAATAAAGCAAACTAAAATTTCTCTCTGAGATCAGATTAGTTAAAGAGATTTTTAGTTTTTATTTATTTTATCTTAGTTTTTTCATAAGAACGAGATAACAACAAAATGTTACAATTTATTTATTTAATGCAAAAATAAATAAAATCTTATCGTTTAGTAAACACATGTTGTTGTACACTTTTCTTTATTAATAAAACAATATTTTGTTGACACTTTATGTTGCACTTCTTGTTTGCGGTTATTTTGTGTTAATTTAATATGAACAATTTTAAATAATAATGTTAATGAAAATTTTATGGATTTGGAATAATGCAATAATCATAAAGAATATAATATTTAAATGTGACTTGTGATGGCTATTGTGTAAATGAATTTATTCGCATAATTTATAAAACAATTATTTTAATCATAAAAAGCACACAAGCATCATACATACATATGTATTTACATTCAATTTTGTGAAGAAAATTTGTGTGACAATAAATTATTTTTCGAAATAAATATTTTGTTTCAAAAGTTCAGTTCTAAATCAGTTCTATTTCAATTGAGTTTAGTTCTAGTTCGGTTCAGTTTTAGTTCTAGTTCTGGTTCAGTTCTAGTTCAGTTCTAGTTCAGTTCTAGTTCAGTTCTAGTTCAGTTCTAGTTCAGTTCTAGTTCAGTTCTAGTTTAGTTCTAGTTCAGTTCTAGTTCAGTTCTAGTTTTCAGTTCTAGTTCAGTTCTAGTTCAGTTCTAGTTCAGTTCTAGTTCAGTTCTAGTTTCAGTTCTAGTTCAGTTCTAGTTCAGTTCTAGTTCAGTTCTAGTTCAGTTCTAGTTCAGTTCTAGTTCAGTTCTAGTTCAGTTCTAGTTCAGTTCTAGTTCAGTTCTAGTTCAGTTCTAGTTCAGTTCTAGTTCAGTTCTAGTTCAGTTCTAGTTCAGTTCTAGTTCAGTTCTAGTTCAGTTCTAGTTCAGTTCTAGTTCAGTTCTAGTTCAGTTCTAGTCAGTTCTAGTTCAGTTCTAGTTCAGTTCTAGTTCAGTTCTAGTTCAGTTCTAGTTCAGTTCTAGTTCAGTTCTAGTTCAGTTCTAGTTCAGTTCTAGTTCAGTTCTAGTTCAGTTCTAGTTCAGTTCTAGTTCAGTTCTAGTTCAGTTCTAGTTCAGTTCTAGTTCAGTTCTAGTTCAGTTCTAGTTCAGTTCTAGTTCAGTTCTAGTTCAGTTCTAGTTCAGTTCTAGTTCAGTTCTAGTTCAGTTCTAGTTCAGTCAGTTCTAGTTCAGTTCTAGTTCAGTTCTAGTTCAGTTCTAGTTCAGTTCTAGTTCAGTTCTAGTTCAGTTCTAGTTCAGTTCTAGTTCAGTTCTAGTTCAGTTCTAGTTCAGTTCTAGTTCAGTTCTAGTTCAGTTCTAGTTCAGTTCTAGTTCAGTTCTAGTTCAGTTCTAGTTCAGTTCTAGTTCAGTTCTAGTTCAGTTCTAGTTCAGTTCTAGTTCAGTTCTAGTTCAGTTCTAGTTCAGTTCTAGTTCAGTTCTAGTTCAGTTCTAGTTCAGTTCTAGTTCAGTTCTAGTTCAGTTCTAGTTCAGTTCTAGTTCAGTTCTAGTTCAGTTCTAGTTCAGTTCTAGTTCAGTTCTAGTTCAGTTCTAGTTCAGTTCTAGTTCAGTTCTAGTTCAGTTCTAGTTCAGTTCTAGTTCAGTTCTAGTTCAGTTCTAGTTCAGTTCTAGTTCAGTTCTAGTTCAGTTCTAGTTCAGTTCTAGTTCAGTTCTAGTTCAGTTCTAGTTCAGTTTCTAGTTCAGTTCTAGTTCAGTTCTAGTTCAGTTCTAGTTCAGTTCTAGTTCAGTTCTAGTTCAGTTCTAGTTCAGTTCTAGTTCAGTTCTAGTTCAGTTCTAGTTCAGTTCTAGTTCAGTTCTAGTTCAGTTCTAGTTCAGTTCTAGTTCAGTTCTAGTTCAGTTCTAGTTCAGTTCTAGTTCAGTTCTAGTTCAGTTCTAGTTCAGTTCTAGTTCAGTTCTAGTTCAGTTCTAGTTCAGTTCTAGTTCAGTTCTAGTTCAGTTCTAGTTCAGTTCTAGTTCAGTTCTAGTTCAGTTCTAGTTCTAGTTCAGTTCTAGTTCAGTTCTTGTTCAGTTCTTGTTCATTTCTAGGTTAGTTCTAGTTCAGTTCCAAATAGTGTACTTCAAAAGTAATTTGAAATAATTTTTCTAATACAACATTAATTTCAACTAATTTCTATTAAATTAATCTCTTTAGAATGTCATCAAACAAAATTACACAAAAATGCGTGGGTTGTTTTTTAGGAAGTAAAAAGCATATTTAAAATTTAAAAATTTTTTAATTACATTTTGGATTTTGTATTTCTTTTTTTTTTTTTTTTTGCAAACAACCGCCAGAGATCATTAACTCTCCTCGTTGTTGAATAAATGCAAAAGAACAAAGACAAGAACAATGCTAACTGCAAGACTTTTTTTCAAGTACAAGGTGTTAATGGACTGGCCACTTTATGTCTGTTTTCATGTATTCAGTAATTTCATTATTTATACATACATAGTATGTAGAGATTTAAGAAGAAAAAATATTCAAATAATACAAAACAATTATAATGCGTCACATGTGAGTGCACAATTTTCATAAACAGAAATGTTGATCAGAGGTTCTTAAGTGGATTTTTGAAGTAAATACTTATTATTGAAATAGCAATACTTTCGATTACGATTAAGCATTTGTCGGAAATATTGTTGGAAATATTGATCTTCTGAACAGGTTTTATGAAAGCGTAAAGAAGTCATCATTCGTTTTGTAAAAGGGTTCGACAACCTAACCTGAGACTCGCAAACAGCCATTGTATCCGGTCTATAGGTATTGATATGGGCGTAGAGGGAAAAAAGGACGTTACAAAAGTCATGGTGAAGCAGACATTGTAAAATATTTATATAGTCCGACATATTTTTCCCGAAAAATAGGTCTATTATCCAGATAAAGTAGACTTATTTGATTTCAAACCACCTTTTTAATGTCCATTCGAATTCTATAAATTGTTCTATAGTCCAGAATATAGACTGTTCTATAGTCTAGAATATAGACTGTTCTATAGTCCATAATATAGATTGTTCTATAGTCTAGACTATAGACAGTTCTATAGTCAAGACAATAGACTGTTCCATAGTCAAGACAATAGACTGTTTTACAGTCAAGACTGTTCTTTAGTCAATACTATAGACTGTTCTTTAGTCAATACTATAGACTGTTCTATAGTCAAGACTATAGACTGTTCTATAGTCAAGACTATAGGCTGTTCTATAGTCAAGACTATAGGCTGTTCTATAGTCAAGACTATAGGCTGTTCTATAGTCAAGACTATAGGCTGCTCTATAGTCAAGACTATAGGCTGTTCTATAGTCGAGACTATAGGCTGTTCCATAGTCAAGACTATAGACTGTTCTATAGTCAAGACTATAGACTGTTCTATAGTCAAGACTATAGACTTTTCTATAGTCAAGACTATAGGCTGTTCCATAGTCAAGACTATAGACTGTTCTATAGTCAAGACTATAGACTGTTCTATAGTCAAGACTATAGACTGTTCTATAGTCAAGACTATAGACTGTTCTATAGTCAAGACTATAGACTTTTCTATAGTCAAGACTATAGGCTGTTCCATAGTCAAGACTATAGGCTGTTCTATAGTCAAGACTATAGACTGTTCTATAGTCAGGACTATAGACTGTTCTATAGTCACGAATATAGAATGTTCTATAGTCAAGACTATAGACTGTTCTATAGTCAAGACTATAGAATGTTCTACAGTCAAGACTATAGACTGTTCTATAGTCAAGACTATAGGCTGTTCTATAGTCAAGACTATAGACTGTTCCATAGTCAAGACTATAGACTGTTCTATAGTCAAGACTATAGACTGTTCTATAGTCAAGACTATAGACTGTTCTATAGTCAAGACTATAGACTGTTCTATAGTCAAGACTATAGACTGTTCTATAATCAAGACTATAAACTGTTTCATAGTCAAGACTATAGACTGTTCTATAGTCAAGACTATAGACTGTTCTATAGTCAAGACTATAGACTGTTCTATAGTCAAGACTATAGACTTTTCTATAGTCAAGACTATAGGCTGTTCCATAGTCAAGACTATAGGCTGTTCTATAGTCAAGACTATAGACTGTTCTATAGTCAGGACTATAGACTGTTCTATAGTCACGAATATAGAATGTTCTATAGTCAAGACTATAGACTGTTCTATAGTCAAGACTATAGAATGTTCTACAGTCAAGACTATAGACTGTTCTATAGTCAAGACTATAGGCTGTTCTATAGTCAAGACTATAGACTGTTCCATAGTCAAGACTATAGACTGTTCTATAGTCAAGACTATAGACTGTTCTATAGTCAAGACTATAGACTGTTCTATAGTCAAGACTATAGACTGTTCTATAATCAAGACTATAAACTGTTCTATAATCAAGACTATAAACTGTTCTATAATCAAGACTATAAACTGTTCTATAGTCAAGACTATAGACTGTTCTATAGTCAAGACTATAGACTGTTCTATAGTCAAGACTATAGACTGTTCTATAGTCAAGACTATAGACTGTTCTATAGTCAAGACTATAGACTGTTCTATAGTCAAGACTATAGACTGTTCTATAATCAAGACTATAAACTGTTCTATAATCAAGACTATAAACTGTTCTATAGTCAAGACTATAGACTGTTCTATAGTCAAGACTATAGACTGTTCAATAGTCAAGACTATAGACTGTTCTATAGTCAAGACTATAGACTGTTCTATAGTCAAGACTATAGACTGTTCTATAGTCAAGACTATAGACTGTTCTATAGTCAAGACTATAGACTGTTCTATAGTCAAGACTATAGACTGTTCTATAGTCAAGACTATAGGCTGTTCTATAGTCAAGACTATAGACTGTTCCATAGTCAAGACTATAGACTGTTCTATAGTCAGACTGTTCTATAGTCAAGACTATAGACTGTTCTATAGTCAAGACTATAGACTGTTCTATAGTCAAGACTATAGACTGTTTTATAGTCAAGCTATAGACTGTTCTATAGTCAAGACTATAGACTGTTCTATATTCAAGGCTATAGGTTGTTCTATAGTCAAGAATAATGCTGTTCTATAGTCAAGACTATAGACTGCTCTATAGTCAAGACTATAGACTGCTCTATAGTCAAGACTATAGACTGTTCTATAGTTAAGACTATAGGCTGTTCTATAGTCAAGACTATAGACTGTTCCATAGTCAAGACTATAGACTGTTCTATAGTCAGACTGTTCTATAGTCAAGACTATAGACTGTTCTATAGTCAAGACTATAGACTGTTCTATAGTCAAGACTATAGACTGTTCTATAGTCAAGACTATAGACTGTTCTATAGTCAAGACTATAGACTGTTTTATAGTCAAGCTATAGACTGTTCTATAGTCAAGACTATAGACTGTTCTATATTCAAGGCTATAGGTTGTTCTATAGTCAAGAATAATGCTGTTCTATAGTCAAGACTATAGACTGCTCTATAGTCAAGACTATAGACTGTTCTATAGTTAAGACTATAGACTGTTTTATAGTCAGGACTATACACTGTTCTGTTCTATTGTCAAGACTATAGGCTGTTCTATAGTCAAGACTATAGACTGTTCCAGAGTCAAGACTATAGATTGTTCTATAGAGATGTCGGATTCAGCTCATGCAGTTAGAAATTTATTCCTTGGATTCTTGGTTAAAACTTTTGTTGCCTGTTTTTGTAAAATTCTATAACATTTTTATGAAAATGTATTAAAGCATTTAAGAAACTCTGCTGATTTTGTTAAACTTATAAATACATTATTAATATTTAGTATTGGCAAATTTCCATTTCCATTTTTTGTAAAATTTATTTCATGGCTCAATGATATATTTCATCAAGATTTCTTGTTTTTACATCTTTTTATTCTGAAAATACATTATCTTTTTGCGCCATTTTTCTATTTTTTAAGTAAATATTTATGTCTGTAACCATAATTACTAAAATACTTAATTTATTTTATTAATCTTAAAACAATGCCTAGAATCTCTTGATGTGCGTAGATCGGAAGGCGAATTAATTTTTTCACGCAAATCTAGCTTACAAGGTAGTTTAAACAAAAAAAAAAAAAAAAAAAAAATGAATCCAAAAAGCTCCTGCAAGCTTCCTTTACCAGATTTGCAGTAAAAAAAAGCTACCCACATAAGCTTAAACCCATAAAAGCTTACTTTCTTCTAATATTTTAATACTTTTACTAACATAAAACCTTAAAAGACCTTCATTCTAGACGATATAATAAATTTATGAATTTAAACTTGTTTTTTATGTGTTCAGATGATGAGGCTTCCCATGGCGTACATATTACCAAAATGGGCTCTGACGATGTGCATCTGCATATCCACGAGGAGCATGGTACTGGTGGCAATTGGTGTGCTAAGACGATTTTCTTTTCTCTCATGCTTTTACTACTGAGTGTAGTATGTATCATTATAATGGAAAATAGGGGCATATCAGATGGTAAGACATGGTCTTTTTTCCAATAATAAAGAATATAAAAAATTTATATCAAATTAACTATTAAATTTCTAGTGGATACACCGTTATCGGAGTCCAGATTTTCAAATTATTTCGATGGCTGGGTCGATGAACATCGTGCTGAACATGATGATCATCATGATAGTCATGGCTCTTTAGAGCATGATGACGATCATGACGATGAACACGATGAGGAAGATGATCATGATGAACCTTTTGAAGAGGAAGCCGATCATTCCGAAGGCGACGAAGAAATAGAAGAGGAGGAGGAAGAAGATGAAAATGTTACACCAGAAGAAGAGGATGAAGATCAAGATGATAATGCAACAGCTGAAAATGTAACAGCCGAAGAAGAAGACGAGGATGAAGAAGAAGATGAAGAAAATGTTACAGCTGAAGAGGATGTAGATGATAATATCACAGCTGAAGAAGCTGATGATGATAATGTAACAGCCGAAGATGAGAATGTCACTGAAGAGGCTACCATGGAACAAAATGATGATGATGAAGACGATGAAGAGGATGTTAATAAAACCAATGAACAGGATGATGAAGATGATAATGTGACCAAAGAAACTTCGAAGCCTACCTCACAAGATGTACAAGATGATGACGATGAAGAAGTAAGTTATAGGCGAATTTCTCAGTTACACTTTATATATAATTTATTTTTGTTTGTTCTTTAGGATGATGACGGCAATTTCGATTCTTTGGAAAAAATTGTCGATAACGATGCCTCCGAATTAGAGTTATTAAAAGAGAAAGCTCGCCAACAGGCCGCCGCTGAGTCGTCTAAACAAAACGCCGCCTCAGCTGAAAATGATCTTGAGGATGAAGCCGATAATGCTCCCTCATGGGCTTCATCAAGTAAGTAGATGTTTTTTTGTAATAGATTCTTCAATTAATTTTTGTATATAGAAAATTTGTACATAAAAATTAATAAACTGTAGAGAGTTATCGGAAAAGTGACGAAATATATAATACCAATAATTCCTGATACAATTTTTAATTACCCATTACTCTTACAAAGATTAGTGGGAATTTAAAATTATAGTATATATAGAAACTTTTAAGAAAGTTTAAACTATATTAGTTAGTAATATTAATATTAATTTGAATTTGTTCTATTTAAAAGGGGAACAAACAAGATCACTTCAGTTTTCTAAACAGCAAACTGCATAAAAAGTCTATTAACAGAAGATAGTGGCGCCTAGGTAAACGCAAATAGGAAGTATATTTATACTTCCATATTGATATGGAATACCTTAAAACTAGTACCAAGTTTTACAATTTCAATCAAATTTCAATGTAAAATAAATTAGATCTAGCATGTACCTATAAAGGTTCAGGGCCAATTAAGAACAAAAAATATTGTTAAAAGAATAGGTACCGGAACCCAGTTGGAAATTGTGTCTTGACGACAATGTCAGAAGTGATTCGTTATGTTCAAGTCATCAGGTGATGATATTTTACATTGGACTACTACTGACAATAAACATAAGTGCCGGTGCACATAGGGAGTGAACTCCGTCGTACGGAGTTCAATGTTTAACATTTTTTTAAAGATTTGGTTGACATTAGTTGTTTAGTTAGTTAGTTGGTTGATTAGTTGGTTAGTTAGTTAGTTGGTTAGATAGTTAGTTAGTTAGTTAGTTAGTCAGGTAGTTAGTAGTAGTAGTTAGTTAGTTAGTTAGTAGTAGTTAGTTAGTTAGTTAGTTAGTAGTTAGTTAGTTAGTTAGTTAGTTAGTTAGTTAGTTAGTTAGTTAGTTAGTTAGTTAGTTAGTTAGTTAGTAGTTAGTTAGTTAGTTAGTAGTTAGTAGTTAGTTAGTTAGTTAGTTAGTTAGTTAGTTAGTTAGTTAGTTAGTTAGTTAGTTAGTTAGTTAGTTAGTAGTTAGTTAGTTAGTTAGTTAGTTAGTTAGTTAGTTAGTTAGTTAGTAAGTTAGTTAGTTAGTTAGTTAGTTAGTTAGTTAGTTAGTTAGTTAGTTAGTAGTTAGTTAGTAGTTAGTTAGTTAGTTAGTTAGTTAGTTAGTTAGTTAGTTAGTTAGTTAGTTAGTTAGTTAGTTAGTTAGTTAGTTAGTTAGTTAGTTAGTTAGTTAGTTAGTTAGTAGTTAGTTAGTTAGTTAGTTAGTTAGTTAGTTAGTTAGTTAGTTAGTTAGTTAGTTAGTAGTTAGTTAGTTAGTTAGTTAGTAGTTAGTTAGTTAGTTAGTTAGTTAGTTAGTTAGTTAGTTAGTTAGTTAGTTAGTTAGTAGTTAGTTAGTTAGTTAGTTAGTTAGTTAGTTAGTTAGTTAGTTAGTTAGTTAGTTAGTTAGTTAGTTAGTTAGTTAGTTAGTTAGTAGTTAGTTAGTTAGTTAGTTAGTTAGTTAGTTAGTTAGTTAGTAGTTAGTTAGTTAGTTAGTTAGTTAGTTAGTTAGTTAGTTAGTTAGTTAGTTAGTTAGTTAGTTAGTTAGTTAGTTAGTTAGTTAGTTAGTTAGTTAGTTAGTTAGTTAGTTAGTTAGTTAGTTAGTTAGTTAGTTAGTTAGTTAGTTAGTTAGTTAGTTAGTTAGTTAGTTAGTTAGTTAGTTAGTTAGTTAGTTAGTTAGTTAGTTAGTTAGTTAGTTAGTTAGTTAGTTAGTTAGTTAGTTAGTTAGTTAGTTAGTTAGTTAGTTAGTTAGTTAGTTAGTTAGTTAGTTAGTTAGTTAGTTAGTTAGTTAGTTAGTTAGTTAGTTAGTTAGTTAGTTAGTTAGTTAGTTAGTTAGTTAGTTAGTTAGTTAGTTAGTTAGTTAGTTAGTTAGTTAGTTAGTTAGTTAGTAGTTAGTTAGTTAGTTAGTTAGTTAGTTAGTTAGTTAGTTAGTTAGTTAGTTAGTTAGTTAGTTAGTTAGTTAGTTAGTTAGTTAGTTAGTTAGTTAGTTAGTTAGTTAGTTAGTTAGTTAGTTAGTTAGTTAGTTAGTTAGTTAGTTAGTTAGTTAGTTAGTTAGTTAGTTAGTAGTTAGTTAGTTAGTTAGTTAGTTAGTTAGTTAGTTAGTTAGTTAGTTAGTTAGTTAGTTAGTTAGTTAGTTAGTAGTTAGTTAGTTAGTTAGTTAGTTAGTTAGTTAGTTAGTTAGTTAGTTAGTTAGTTAGTTAGTTAGTTAGTTAGTTAGTTAGTTAGTTAGTTAGTTAGTTAGTTAGTTAGTTAGTTAGTTAGTAGTTAGTTAGTTAGTTAGTTAGTTAGTTAGTAGTTAGTTAGTTAGTTAGTTAGTTAGTTAGTTAGTTAGTTAGTTAGTTAGTTAGTTAGTTAGTTAGTTAGTTAGTTAGTTAGTAGTTAGTTAGTTAGTTAGTTAGTTAGTTAGTAGTTAGTTAGTTAGTTAGTTAGTTAGTTAGTTAGTTAGTTAGTTAGTTAGTTAGTTAGTTAGTAGTTAGTTAGTTAGTTAGTTAGTTAGTTAGTTAGTTAGTTAGTTAGTTAGTTAGTTAGTTAGTTAGTTAGTTAGTTAGTTAGTTAGTTAGTTAGTTAGTTAGTTAGTTAGTTAGTTAGTTAGTTAGTTAGTTAGTTAGTTAGTTAGTTAGTAGTTAGTTAGTTAGTTAGTTAGTTAGTTAGTTAGTTAGTTAGTAGTTAGTTAGTTAGTTAGTTAGTTAGTTAGTTAGTTAGTTAGTTAGTTAGTTAGTTAGTTAGTTAGTTAGTTAGTTAGTTAGTAGTTAGTTAGTTAGTTAGTTAGTTAGTTAGTTAGTTAGTTAGTTAGTTAGTTAGTTAGTTAGTTAGTAGTTAGTTAGTTAGTTAGTTAGTTAGTTAGTTAGTTAGTTAGTTAGTTAGTTAGTTAGTTAGTTAGTTAGTTAGTTAGTTAGTTAGTTAGTTAGTTAGTTAGTTAGTAGTTAGTTAGTTAGTTAGTTAGTTAGTTAGTTAGTTAGTTAGTTAGTTAGTTAGTTAGTTAGTTAGTTAGTTAGTTAGTTAGTTAGTTAGTAGTTAGTTAGTAGTTAGTTAGTTAGTTAGTTAGTTAGTTAGTTAGTTAGTTAGTTAGTTAGTTAGTTAGTTAGTTAGTTAGTTAGTTAGTTAGTTAGTTAGTTAGTTAGTTAGTTAGTTAGTTAGTTAGTTAGTTAGTTAGTTAGTTAGTTAGTTAGTTAGTTAGTTAGTTAGTTAGTTAGTAGTTAGTTAGTTAGTAGTTAGTTAGTTAGTTAGTTAGTTAGTAGTTAGTTAGTTAGTTAGTTAGTTAGTTAGTTAGTTAGTTAGTTAGTTAGTTAGTTAGTTAGTTAGTTAGTTAGTTAGTTAGTTAGTTAGTTAGTTAGTTACTTAGTTACTTAGTTAGTTAGTTAGTTAGTTAGTTAGTTAGTTAGTTAGTTAGTAAGTTAATTTGTTATCCAAAAAATATCTAGAAAAATATAGACAAAGGGCCCTCTGTTGAAATACATTTGGTCTATTAACTAAAATTTCGAGATATTACCTCGATATTGGTTTATTCCTAACGGATTTTATACATATCTCAACAATTAATGTACAGAATTTCCTTTTTTTTGGAATATTAAAAGTAATACTAATTTAAAGTAATAAATTATAAAAATTAGCTTTTAAGCCCCCCAACACAATCTCCACCTAATTATTTTATAAGTTGAAAAAAAAACAAATGTAATTTAACAAGAAAGTGCAAAATAAAAATTTGAAATTTTATTAAAAACTAAAAGAAAAACTCATTATCTACTATTACCAACTATTTTTACAGTGGCGGTTAAAATTGGCGTTGGTTTGGCTCTAGCCTTAGTAGCACGTCTAGTATTGATTAGGAAAAATCCGATTTCAAGTGAGTTTTCCCCAACAATCAAAAAAGTTGTGTTTTTTCTCTTAATACCACATAATAATATCACTACTACTACTGTTTATCACTAGTATTTACTTACTAGCCAAAGTTGTGTCTATTAAAGCTTAAAGCTGTTTAACCCAAAAAAGCGCCATTTAACCTTTAAACGTGTATGTGCTGAAAATAATACAAAAAAAGAGAATAATTAAAATCACTTTTGTAAAGATTTAAATAAATAAATAACTTTTTTTCTATGTCCGCATGTAAATGTTGTGGATTTTGTTTAATTTTTTTTTTAACAAAATTGTTGTTTACTTTGTTTTAATTTCTTTTATTTTTTATTAAATATACTTCAAACTTTTTTTTTGCACTTTCTTTTTTTCTAATCTATAATTATTCTTATGTATTGATTAATTTTTGTAAATTTTATTTGTAATTTATTTTAATTATTACTTTTTTTAGTTTTTGAATTATTTATAATTTTATGCTCGTACAACGCTAAAAGCCATTATTGTATGTATGCCGCCATTTTACATTTTATTTGTTGTCTCAATATTTTAATTTCTTTTTAAGTTTATAAGAGAAATAATTTTGTAATATTATAAAATTCCTTAATTCCTTAAGATGAAGCTCCAGCTCCTGAAATTTTAATGAAACGTCGTTTAACCATTGCCAGCCCCGATGAGCTTATACCCGAAGATGTTGATAATGCCGCCGAACCTTTGCCCGAAGAAGGTTAATTAAAATGCAAAAAATTTTGGAATTTTTTTTAAATCAAAATTTCATGCAATTAAAATAGAAATGAAATAGGGAAAGTACTGTAGGTCGCATACAGTATACTCCCAATTTAGAGCAGACTTACTAATGTCTAGCCTAAAGAAGAGACTATAGTGTGGACTATACTCTGGACTATAGTTTCGAACATAGACTAGACTGTAGTCTCGACTATAGACTAGACTATAGTTACGAATATAGACTGGATTATAATCTCGACTATAGACTGGACTATATCCCGACTATAGACTGAATTATAGCCCCGACTATAGACTATTCTATATTCCCGACTATAGTCTAGGCTATAGTCCCAATTATAGACAAGACTATAGTCCCAACTATTGACTGGATCATAGTCTCTACTACAGACTGGAAAAGACTAGTCTTTGGTCTCGATTATAAACTAAGCTATAGCCTACTCACTAGACTATAGTCTGGATTCGACTTTAGACTAGACTATAGTCTCGATTGTAGACTGTATAGTAATGACTATAGATTATATTATAGCCTCGACTATAGACTGCACTATGGTCTCTACTGTAGACTAGGCTATTGGCTAGACTAAGGTCTCGCATATTGACTAGTCTATAGTCCTGACTTTATACTGGACTGTAGTCTAGACTATAAACATATCCAGAATCTCCATTTTAGAATAGACAATAGCCTCGGCTAGAGACTAGACTATGGTCTCAACTATGGACTTGACTACAGTTTCTCCTATTGACTAGGATATAGTCCCGATTATAAACTAGACTATAATCCAGACTATGAACTAGATAATAGTTCCGACTATAGTTCCGATAATAGACTAGTCTCTAATCCTCCTGACTTCAACAAGACTGTTTTTTATTATAACCCATTCCGAGTACTTTCCTTATTTCATGCCCCCATACGAATCCGGAACGTTTAATAAATTAATAAAATCACTTTACAACACCACCCCCTTATAAAGATTATTCCGAAGAAGAAATTGAAATCGAAGAAGAAATCGAATATATTGAAGAGGAAATAGAAACCGTTGGCGAGGAAAATCAAGTTGATGCAGGTGACAATGATTATGTACCCGAAACTTTTGAACAACTCAATGCCATGTACAGACCAAAAGATTACAGAGATGAGACAGAACAAAAAATCGAAATAAAGCCAACACAATCCGAAGCATATTCGTATCAATCTCCTTATAACACACCTTTCAATAGCAATAACAATAGGAACAATAATAACACCTCAAGATTTAGTCAAGACGACTCACCAAAGACTTCCGAAAGATCTACGAATAATGGTTATAATAACAATAATACACAAAATCAAAATCAATTTAAAACTACGATGCCAGTATTTGAGGCACCACCACCACCTCCCCTGGTAGAGGCTAAAATTGATATGCCAATCAAGTATTCACCACCCAAGGAGACGGCCGCAGTTAAACCAGAGACATCAAATCAATCTTTAAAAAAAGATATAACCTACGACATGGACTATGAAAAAGTCGAAAAGGATAAACCACTAGATGAATCGAAAAAGGAAATAGCACATGATATGGATTATCAACCTGATTCAGAAGATATTGATTATGATGAAGATGATATCTACGATGATGAGGAGGCACAAGATGATGATTCCGAAGATTCCGACGATCTATTAGACGATGACGATGATGAAGATTTGGAGGAGGGTGATGATGAAGATGTTTCCGATGTTGACGATACCGAACTAATGAATAGACTTGAAGCCAAATATGGCAAATTACCAGCCAAAGAATATGAAAGCGATGAAGATCCAGATGATCCCACTTGGACACGTAATTACTAAACAAATCACTCCCCCCGTCCCCCTTACATGTTCTATAATTTAATTATTTCGTTTACATAATCATTTAAAACACATACGTACACACATACGAACACTGTGTATTGTACTGTAAAAATAATCATCGATTCATGAGAAATTGGCCTCAGGAGAGAAGGATTGAAATTTAAACTCATCTTTGAAACACTCATACTCGTAGAACTCATTAATTAACACACAATTTAGAATAGATTTTTAAGTTAAATATAGTAAGTTTTTTTATATTTTATAAGATTTATTATTTTTTATATTTGTAAAAGGTGGAGATTTTTTGACATTTTAAGTAGCTATGGCAACCCTTTTATGTTTAGGCATGCTGCAGATAATAGCGCATCAGTTTTTCAAGAAAGTTGGATAATAGACATGACTATAGTGTGGACCATAGACAATATTATAGTCTGGACAATAGACATGACTATAATATAGATTATAGACAATACTATAGTCTAGATTAGAGACCAGACTGGACTATAGACATAACTATAGACTTGACTATAGTCTCGACTATTGACAAGACTATAGTCTGGACTACAGACAAGAATATAGTCTGGACTACAGACAAGATAATAGTCTGTACTCTAGGTAAGACTATAGTCTTGAATATAGACAAGTCTGGACTATAACAAGACTATAGTCTGCACTATAAACAATACTTTAGTCTGGACTATAGACAAGACTATAGTCTGGACTATAGACAAGACTATAGTCTGGACTATAGACAAGACTATAGTCTGGACTATAGACAAGACTATAGTCTGGACTATAGACAAGACTATAGTCTGGACTATAGACAAGACTATAGTCTGGACTATAGACAAGACTATAGTCTGGACTATAGACACGACTGTAGTCTGTACTATAGACAAGACTATAGTCTGGACTATAGATAAGATATATGGTATATATATAGATAAGATATAGCTATATAGATATATAGTCTGGATTATAGACAAGACTATAGCCTGGATTATAGACAAGACTAGAGTCTGGACTATGAACAAGTCTATAGTTTGGACTGTAGACAAGACTATATATAGTCTGAACTATAGACAAGATTATATATAGCCTGGACTATAGACAAAACTATATAGATTCTGGACTATAGACAATACTATAATCTGAACACTAGACAAGACTGTATTCTGAACTATAGATAACTCTATAGGTAAGACTATAAACAAGATTATTTTCTGTACTATACTCTGGACTATAGACAAGGCAATATATAGTCTGGACTATAGACAAGACTATAGTCTGAACTATAGACAAGACTGAACTATAGATAACACTAAAGGTAAGACTATAGTCTGGACAATAAACAAGACTTTTGTCTGGACTATAGACAAGACTATGGTCTTGAATATACACGAGACTATAGTCTGGACTATAAACAAGACTATAGTCTGGACTATAAACAAGACCATAGTCTGGACTATAGACAAGACTATAGTCTGGACTATAGGCAAGACTATAGTTTGGACTATAGACAAGACTATAGTTTTTACTATAGACAAGACTATAGTCTGGACTATAGACAAGACTGTTGTCTGGACTATAGACAAGCCTATAGTCTGGACTATAGACAAGCCTATAGTCTGGACTATAGACAAGCCTATAGTCTGGACTATAGACAAGACTATAGTCTGGACTATAGATAAATCTATAGTCTGGACTATAGACAAGACTATAGTCTGGACTATAGACAAGACTATAATCTGGTCTATAGACAAGACTATAGTCTGGACTATAGACAAGACTATAGTTTGGACTATAGACAAGACTATAGTCTGGACTATTGACAAGACTGTAGTATGGACTATAGACAAGACTATAGTATGGACTATAGACAAGACTATAGTATGGACTATAGACAAGACTATAGTATGGACTATAGACAAGACTATAGTCTGGACTATAGACAAGACTATAGTCTGGACTATAGACAAGACTATAGTCTGGACTATAGACAAGACTATAGTCTGGACTATAGACAAGACTATAGTCCGGACTATAGACAAGACTATAGTCTGGACTATAGACAAGACTATAGTCTGGACTATAGACAAGACTATAGTCTGGACTATAGACAAGACTATAGTCTGGACTATAGACAAGACTATAGTCTGGACTGTAGACAAGACTATAGTCTGGACTGTAGACAAGACTATAGTCTGGACTGTAGACAAGACTATAGTCTGGACTATAGAAAAGACTATAGTTTCGACTATAGAAAAGACTACAGTCTCGACTATAGACAATATAATAGTTCCTACTATAGGTAAAGCTACAGTCAGGGCTATTGAAAAGACTTTAGCCTCGACTATTATTCAGTATTATTCAGAATATAATCTCGTTTATTATATAGAATTAATTCCTGAATCTTTCAAACTCTTTAGAAAGAAGAATAGATTTTTTCCAATTCTCCTAAACAAGGAGTTGCCATATAATAAATTTTATGTACAAATATTTCTAGCTAAAAACTTTCAATTTCCATATCCCGTAAAATTAAAATATATATTTTCCAATTAACAGAAATAAAACCCAAAACCGGTGGTGGTCCACAATCATTAGAAGATGATGATGATATTGATTTATTTGAACAAGAATTACGAAGAGCCAATGAAGAGATGATGCGAGAGGTAAATTGAAATTATTTAAATGAAATTTCTCCATTTTAATCGTATTATTTTATTTATTTATTTTTTTTCTTATCAGTTTAACTATCATTAGATTATATTATCCTTCCTCTACTTATTTTACTTACTTTCTCTATTTTTGTTTAAATTAAACCTAAATGCATTAGCTTTAAATTCATTTTAATGCGTTTTCTGTTTTAGTAGATTTTAAGATTTTAATTCGATAACAATTTTAATAAAAACAAAAAACATTTTTTTATAAGGAATTTTGAAAATGAAAAATCTACATTAGTAGTTTTGTAATGATTTAATTAGAATTTTATCAATTTTTCATTTCTTCTCTTTTTGCTGTGTTGCATTTTTGTTTTCGCTTTTTTTTTTCAAAATTAACTTGAGATTTGTGATTTAAATTGAAATGCCTCAAATTCTTAACAGAACACCCACTTTAATTTGTTTCTGATTTGTGGTTGAAGTCATAAATCTTGACTTAATTTTGTCCTAAAGAATGTCCTTTATTATTAAAAACTAATCCATATGCATTTTTATTTTTATTTAATTTATTAATTTATATATATTTTTTATTTGCCTTTAATATTTTATCGCTTTTATTTATTCATTTATTTTATTTTGTTTGTTATGAATTGCTGTTATTGTGCTTTATCTTCTTCCTCAACCGCCCCACAACCACACCCACAATCCTTTTTCCCTACTTTCCTCCTTCCATCAACACTAAAGCATTATGAAGATGCCTTGAAATCCTTTGATCGTCTAATACAAACTTATCCCCATCAACCGCAAACGTATTTGGGTAAAGCTCAAACTTTGGATCAATATGCCGATCAACGTAAAGATAATCGTATGCTAATGGAGGCCATTGAATATTATAAAACTTATTTGGAATTCGATGTTAACGATGATCAACTTTGGGAATATCGTTCGGCAGGCGAGCGTAGTTTACAAAGATTAAGATTTATGGGTGAGTTTGCTGGGTGAGGGAGCTACTATATAGACCAGACTACAGTTTGGACTATAGGAAAGATTAAAGTCTGGATTATAGACAAAGTTTGAATTATAGACAAACTATAGTCTAAACTATAGACAAACTATAGTCTAAACTATAGGCAAGACTATAGTCTGAACTATAGACGAGACTATAGTCTGAGCTATAGGCGATACTATAGTCTGGACTATAGACGAGACTATAGTCTGGACTATATACAAGACTATAGTCTAGTCTAGACTAGACAAGACTATAGTCTAGTCTAGACTAGACAAGACTATAGTCTAGACTATAGACAAGACTATAGTTTGGCATATAGACAAAACTATAATCTGGCCAATAGACAAAACTATAGTCTGGCCAATAGACAAAACTATAGTCTGGCCAATAGACAAAACTATAGTCTGGCCAATAGACAAAACTATAGTCTGGCCAATAGACAAAACTATAGTCTGGCCAATAGACAAAACTATAGTCTGGCCAATAGACAAAACTATAGTCTGGCCAATAGACAAAACTATAGTCTGGCCAATAGACAAAACTATAGTCTGGCTTATAGACAAGACTATAGTCTGACCTATAGACAAGACTATAGTCTGGCCTATAGACAAGACTATAGTCTGGCCTATAGACAAGACTATAGTCTGGCCTATAGACAAGACTATAGTCTGGCCTATAGACAAGACTATAGTCTGGCCTGTAGGCAAGACTATAGTCTGGCCTATAGACAAGACTATAGTCTAGCCTATAGACAAGACTATAGTCTGGCCTATAGACAAGACTATAGTCTGGCCTATAGACAAGACTATAGTCTGGCCTATAGACAAAACTATAGTCTAGCCTATAGAGAAGACTATAGTCTGGCCTATAGACAAGACTATAGTCTAGCCTATATACAAGACTATAGTCTGGCCTATAGACAAGACTATAGTCTGGCCTATAGACAAGACTATAGTCTGGCCTATAGACAAGACTATAGTCTAGCCTATAGACAAGACTATAGTCTGGCCTATAGACAAGACTATAGTCTGGCCTATAGACAAGACTATAGTCTGGCCTATATACAAGACTATAGTCTGGCCTATAGACAAGACTATAGTCTGGCCTATAGACAAGACTATAGTCTGGCCTATAGACAAGACTATAGTCTGGCCTATAGACAAGACTATAGTCTGGCCTATAGACAAGACTATAGTCTGGCCTATAGACAAGACTATAGTCTGGCCTATAGACAAGACTATAGTCTGGCCTATAGACAAGACTATAGTCTGGCCTATAGACAAGACTATAGTCTGGCCTATAGACAAGACTATAGTCTGGCCTATAGACAAGACTATAGTCTGGCCTATAGACAAGACTATAGTCTGGCCTATAGACAAGACTATAGTCTGGCCTATAGACAAGACTATAGTCTAGCCTATAGAGAAGACTATAGTCTGACCTATAGACAAGACTATAGTCTGGCCTATAGACAAGACTATAGTCTGGCCTATAGACAAGACTATAGTCTGGCCTATAGACAAGACTATAGTCTGGCCTATAGACAAGACTATAGTCTGGCCTATAGACAAGACTATAGTCTGGCCTATAGACAAGACTATAGTCTAGCCTATATACAAGACTATAGTCTGGCCTATAGACAAGACTATAGACAAGACTATAGTCTGGCCTATAGACAAGACTATAGTCTGGCCTATAGACAAGACTATAGTCTGGCCTATAGACAAGACTATAGTCTGGCCTATAGACAAGACTATAGTCTGGCCTATAGACAAGACTATAGTCTGGCCTATAGACAAGACTATAGTCTGGCCTATAGACAAGACTATAGTCTGGCCTATAGACAAGACTATAGTCTAGCCTATAGACAAGACTATAGTCTGGCCTATAGACAAGACTATAGTCTAGCCTATAGACAAGACTATAGTCTAGCCTATAGACAAGACTATAGTCTAGCCTATAGACAAGACTATAGTCTGGCCTATAGACAAGACTATAGTGTAGCCTATAGACAAGACTATAGTCTGGCCTATAGACAAGACTATAGTGTAGCCTATAGACAAGACTATAGTCTGGCCTATAGACAAGACTATAGTCTGGCCTATAGACAAGACTATAGTGTAGCCTATAGACAAGACTATAGTCTGGCCTATAGACAAGACTATAGTCTGGCCTATAGACAAGACTATAGTCTGGCCTATAGACAAGACTATAGTCTGGCCTATAGACAAGACTATAGTCTGGCCTATAGACAAGACTATAGTCTAGCCTATAGACAAGACTATAGTCTGGCCTATAGACAAGACTATAGTCTGGCCTATAGACAAGACTATAGTCTGGCCTATAGACAAAACTATAGTCTAGCCTATAGAGAAGACTATAGTCTGGCCTATAGACAAGACTATAGTCTAGCCTATATACAAGACTATAGTCTGGCCTATAGACAAGACTATAGTCTGGCCTATAGACAAGACTATAGTCTGGCCTATAGACAAGACTATAGTCTAGCCTATAGACAAGACTATAGTCTGGTCTGGCCTATAGACAAGACTATAGTCTGGCCTATAGACAAGACTATAGTCTGGCCTATAGACAAGACTATAGTCTGGCCTATAGACAAGACTATAGTCTGGCCTATAGACAAGACTATAGTCTGGCCTATAGACAAGACTATAGTCTGGCCTATAGACAAGACTATAGTCTGGCCTATAGACAAGACTATAGTCTGGCCTATAGACAAGACTATAGTCTGGCCTATAGACAAGACTATAGTCTGGCCTATAGACAAGACTATAGTCTGGCCTATAGACAAGACTATAGTCTGGCCTATAGACAAGACTATAGTCTGGCCTATAGACAAGACTATAGTCTGGCCTATAGACAAGACTATAGTCTGGCCTATAGACAAGACTATAGTCTGGCCTATAGACAAGACTATAGTCTGGCCTATAGACAAGACTATAGTCTGGCCTATAGACAAGACTATAGTCTGGCCTATAGACAAGACTATAGTCTGGCCTATAGACAAGACTATAGTCTGGCCTATAGACAAGACTATAGTCTGGCCTATAGACAAGACTATAGTCTAGCCTATAGAGAAGACTATAGTCTGACCTATAGACAAGACTATAGTCTGGCCTATAGACAAGACTATAGTCTGGCCTATAGACAAGACTATAGTCTAGCCTATAGACAAGACTATAGTCTGGCCTATAGACAAGACTATAGTCTGGCCTATAGACAAGACTATAGTCTGGCCTATAGACAAGACTATAGTCTAGCCTATATACAAGACTATAGTCTGGCCTATAGACAAGACTATAGACAAGACTATAGTCTGGCCTATAGACAAGACTATAGTCTGGCCTATAGACAAGACTATAGTCTGGCCTATAGACAAGACTATAGTCTGGCCTATAGACAAGACTATAGTCTGGCCTATAGACAAGACTATAGTCTGGCCTATAGACAAGACTATAGTCTGGCCTATAGACAAGACTATAGTCTGGCCTATAGACAAGACTATAGTCTGGCCTATAGACAAGACTATAGTCTGGCCTATAGACAAGACTATAGTCTAGCCTATAGACAAGACTATAGTCTGGCCTATAGACAAGACTATAGTCTAGCCTATAGACAAGACTATAGTCTAGCCTATAGACAAGACTATAGTCTAGCCTATAGACAAGACTATAGTCTAGCCTATAGACAAGACTATAGTCTGGCCTATAGACAAGACTATAGTGTAGCCTATAGACAAGACTATAGTCTGGCCTATAGACAAGACTATAGTGTAGCCTATAGACAAGACTATAGTCTGGCCTATAGACAAGACTATAGTCTGGCCTATAGACAAGACTACAGTGTAGCCTATAGACAAGACTATAGTCTGGCCTATAGACAAGACTATAGTCTGGCCTATAGACAAGACTATAGTCTGGCCAATAGACAAGACTATAGTCTGGCCTATAGACAAGACTATAGTCTGGCCTATAGACAAGACTATAGTCTGGCCTATAGACAAGACTATAGTCTGGCCTATAGACAAGACTATAGTCTGGCCTATAGACAAGACTATAGTCTGGCCTATAGACAAGACTATAGTCTGGCCTTTAGACAAGACTATAGTCTGGCCTTTAGACAAGACTATAGTGTGGCCTATAGACAAGACTATAGTGTGGCCTATAGACAAGAATATAGTCTGGCCTATAGACAAGACTATAGTCTGGCATATAGACAAGACTATAGTCTGGCCTATAGACAAGACTATAGTCTGGCCTATAGACAAGACTATAGTCTGGCCTATAGACAAGACTATAGTCTGGCCTATATTCTGGCCTATAGACAAGACTATTGTCTGACCTATAGTCTGGCCTATAGACAAGACTATAGTCTGGCCTATAGACAAGACTATAGTTTGGCCTAAAGACAAGACTTTAGTCTGACCTACAGACAAGACTATTTAGTCTGTCCTACACACAATACTTCATTCTGGACTATAGTCGAGACTACAGTCTGGACTATAGACAAGACTCGACTATAGTCTAGGCTGTCGCCTAAAGACAATTTTGTTCAATACATACATATAATAATTCCCCTTCTATACAGGTCACTATGCACAATGTCTACCCATACATAATATACTTATAAAAAAATTTCCTCGGTTACCTTCTGTTAGGACTCAATTAGCCATCACCTACTTAATGATTGATCGGTAAATATGTTTAAAAAATCATAGATAAATAATTATCACTAAACTTGATACTAAAACTCATATAGTTTAGACTTTCAGATGCTAAGCAAGTACTTCGAGAAACTCTTAAACTTTGGCCCGACGATGGGTTAGCATTGGTGCACTATGGTTTTGTATTAAAACAATTGGATCATGATTATCATAATGCAACAATATATCTACGTCAAGGAATCGAGAGTGAAGAGGAGGGAACACAAACTGGCATATTCTATTTTCAATTGGGAGAAGCCCTACAACGATTGGGAAAACAGAGTGAAGCTGTTAAAGTTTTTCGTAAAGGTGTTAGTTTGAAATTATTTCCCAGTGTTTTTCAAAGATCTCTCTATAATGAGCCCAACTTAAAGGCTCAACCTTTCTGGTCGGCAAAAGAAACCACTTATGAAAAGTTTTTTAAAAAATTACAAGACAATTGGTTGGCAATAAAAGCTGAGGGCTTAAATATTCTTAGTAAAATCGGTTATTATATGAATGAGTCGGAGAATCTGAAGAATAAAGGTGATTGGAAACAATTCGAGTTGTATGCTAGAGGAGAACAGAGGCGAGAAAACTGCCTCCAGGCGCCCATAACTTGTAGTTTAATAGAACAATTTCCAGCCGCACGTGGTTGTCGCCGTGGTCAAGTAAAGTTTAGTGTTATGCATCCGGGCACTCATGTTTGGCCTCACTGTGGTCCCAGCAATTGTAGGCTAAGAGCCCATTTGGGTTTGGTGGTACCTAGTGGCACTCGTATAAGAGTGGCCGAGGAAGAACGGTAAATAGAAAACAAGAGTCCTTTTTTTCATTTTGGCCAATATTTAAGTTTTTTTTTTTGATTTTAGCACTTGGCAAGAAGGAAAATTTCTAATATTCGATGACAGTTTTGAACACGAAGTCTGGCATGAGGGTCAAGGTATACGTTTAGTACTTATTGTCGATATATGGCATCCAGAACTTAGCGAACATCAACGTCGTTCCTTATTTCCTATTTAAAGTCATGTTTTTATTATTATTAACTAGCAGTTTATTAATTTTATTATATTTATTTTAATATTTTTATTATATTTTTTTTGTATTAACTTTTAATAAAATGTTTTTGTATCTCAAGGGTTTGTAATGCTAAAATTGTAAAATATAAATTATTGTTAAAATATTATTTTTAAGTATCAATTATTGTAAAAACGCAGAAAAACTTTAGTTTCATAATAATTCAAATAAATCAAAGAAAGACATTTCATTAAATCCAAAGTGTATTTGAAATTTACTGATTTTATTAAAATCTTATAAATAAACTAATGTTTAGCCTATATTGTTTATTTTTAACATATTTAACTTTTTAAACATGCAATTGTCCGTAACTGACAAGGTTTAGTTGCAAATCTAATTGCCAGTTATTATACAAAGTTTAACCAAGTTAATAATTTAAAAGTAATTTAATACCTTTATTATATATTTTTTATTTAATTATAGTATTTTTTTTTTCTGAATAAATATCATACAAGCAGTGTTGCCAGCCATATTTTAAAAAAATCTCCAGTCACTAATCTGGTTTGTGATCTAGTCTATAGTCTGAACTATATTCCAGTCTTCAGTCTGATATAAAGTATATGGTCTGTCCTAAAGCCTAGCCTATTGTCAGAACTATAGTCTGAACTAGACTCTAATCAGGTCAATAGTCTAGTCTATGGTCTGAACTAGACTCTAGTTAGGAAAATAGTCTAGTCTATAGTGTAGATAATAGTCTAGTCCATAGTCAGGACTATAGTATAGTCCACAATCTGGACTAAAGCCTAGTCCAAAGTCTGGACTAAAGTCTAGTCCAAAGTCTGGACTAAATTCTAGTCCATAGTCTGGACTATAGTCTGGACTATAGTCTAATCTATAGTCTGGATTATAGCCTGGACTATAGTTTAATCTATAGTCTCGACCATAGTCTAGTCTATAGGCTGGACTATAGTCTAGTCTACAGTCTGGACTATAACCTAGTATATGGCCTGGACTATAGTCTAGTATATAGTCTGGACTGTAGTCTAGCATATAGTCTGGACTATAGCCTATTCTATAGTCTGGAGTATAGTCTAGTCTATGGTCTGGATTAAATTCTAATCTATAGTCTGGACTATGGTCTAGTCTCTAGTCTGGACTATGGTCTAGTCTATAGTTTGGACTATAGTCTAGTCTGAACTATTGCCTAGTCTAGAGTCAGGATTAAAGGGAATTCCAAAGTCAAGTCTATAGTCTGAATTATAGCCTACTCTATAGTCTGAACTATAGTGTAGTCTATAATCTGGACTATAGTTTGGACTATAGTGTAGTCTATAGTTTGGACTATAGTCTAGTCTATAGTATGGACTATAGTCTAGTCTATAGTCTGGACTATTGTCTAGTCTATAGTCTGGACTATTGTCTAGTCTATTGTCTTTACTATAGTCTGGCCTATAGTCTGAACTGTAGTCAAGTCTATAGTCTTAACTGTAGTCTAGTCTATAATCTGGACTATAGTCTAGTCTATAGTTTGGACTATAGTCTAGTCTATAGTATGGACTATAGTCTAGTCTATAGTCTGGGCTATTGTTTAGTCTATTCTCTCGACTATAGTCTAGTCTATAGGCTGGACTATAGCCTAGTCTATAGTCTGGACTATAGTCTGGTCTATAGTCTGGACTATAGTCTGGTTTATTGTCTGGACTGTAGTCTAGTGTAGTCTATAGTCTGGACTGTAGTCTAGTCTGGACTAAAGTCAAGTCTATAGTCTGAACTGTATCCAAGTCTATAGTCTGAACTGTAGTCTACTCTATAGTCTGGACTATAGCCTAGTCTATAATCTGGACTATAGTTTGGGCTATAGTCTAGTCTATAGTCTGAACTATAGTCTAGTCTATAGTCTGGACTATAGTTTAGTCTATAGTCTGGACTATAGTCTAGTCTATAGTCTGGACTATAGTCTAGTCTATAGTCTGGACTATAGTCTAGTTTATAGTCTGGACTACAGTCTAGTCTATAGTTTGGACTATAGTCTAGTCTATAGTCTGGACTATAGTCTAGTCTATAGTCTGGACTATAGTCTAGTCTATAGTTTGGACTATAGTCTAGTCTATAGTCTGGCCTATAGTCTAGTCTATAGTCTAGACTATAGTCTATAGTCTGGACTAAAGTCTAGTCTATAGTCTGGACTATAGTCTAGTCTATAGTCTACTATAGTCTAGTCTGGACTATAGTCTAGTCTATAGTCTGGACTATAGTCTAGTCTAGTCTAGTCTATAGTCTGGACTATAGTCTAGTCTATAGTCTGGACTATAGTCTAGTCTATAGTCTGGACTATAGTCTAGTCTATAGTTTGGTCTATAGTCTAGTCTTTAGTCTGGTATATAATATAGGCTATATTCAAGTCTATAGTCTCGACTAAAGTCCAGTCTGTAGGCTATAGTCTGTCTGTGGACTATATTCTAGTCTTTATCTGGACAATTATGTAGTCTACATTCTGGAGTGTAGTCTTGTCTATATTATGGACTAAAGTCTAGTCTCCATTCTGGACTATAGTCTAGTCCATATTGTGGACTTTAGTCTATAGACTGGGTTATATCTAGTTTATAGTCTGGACTATAGACTAGTTTATAGAAAATTTGTCGTTTTGGTTACGAACAATTTTTTGTAACAAAATCCCTCAGAAATGTTCCCTGGACTTGGCAATACTACAATTAAGTCAAGAAGAGATTATTTTTTTTAACGAAAATCACACATAGTGAATTTAAAATACATACACTCAAAAAATATATGTTAGTTAAGTTTATAACAATTACAATACGGGTGTTATGACATTGCAAATATCAATTTAATCGGATAAGTTAAAGCGTGCCGTGTAAATAAGATGAAAGTACATGAAGGAAGGTTCTATGTGAAGTTTTGCATTTTAAGATATGTGTAGGATTAATAATTTTTGTTAATAATACCCTCTCATTGTAATCAAAATTTGATTCGATCTATCAAATAGTTTCGCAGGCTTATTGACTTTTTTAATTAATTTTGTTTTGGAATTTATATAACTATTGCTATAAACAATTATTCATTATTTTATTGATTAATAAACAATTTTAATTAATTGAAAAAAAAAGAACTTGAAAGTGATAGCTATCGAAACCATATAATCGTGGGAATCGTGAATAATAGGTGCGTGTGTTTTAAACACATAATGGAAAAAGTTAATGATATGAAAATTTTGATTATTATTTAAAAGATAACGATATGTTGTGGTAATAATTATAAAAGAGATTCATGTGATTTAAATGAAATCAAACCAACTATTAGTGGTAAAAACTAATAAAATTTAGATTCAACTGAATTAATGACGTGCGAATTATGATTTTTATTATTTAACAAGTAAGAAAGTATAGTCGGGCGAGGCCGACCATATGATACCCTACACCAGTTATGAATATTAAATGTGATTTATTTTTCATAGTAAAGCATTTATTTTCAATATTCCCTTGTTCCGATACATTTAAGCAATTTATGGATGAAAAACTAATTTTCTGAAAGAGGCTTTATATGGGGGCTAGGGGCAAATATGGACCAAGCCCGATAAAAT